AGAGTCTCAAAAATTTTACAATTATTTATATTTTATGTTCAAGTGTTTTATTAAGTAAAAAATATAATGATAAAAAATAATATAAATTTAATATCATGTATTCATTTTTATTTATATTATAAATATAAAGTGTGAATAAATAGCTATAAATACTATAATATTTATACTTGTATGCGTTCTAATACAATTTTATAAATATTAATTTATTGCATATTTAAACTCATTGAACGAGTAATTATTTTATTTATAGTAATTTTTCAGGTATTCATCAAGTAAAATATAACTTTGTCATGCTTGTATTTCGAGAATGCATTTTTATTTCAAAGTGGTCAAAATTGCTTATAATTTCAACTCACTGTTGCGGATAATATTATTGACTTTATAAATAATTAAACTATATAATCGTGATGTTTATTTAAAGGAAGAACGAAAGACAAGACAATTTAACCCTAAAGCCGTAGAAAGGAAAACACCTATTGGTGGACTAAAAATTACGAAACTTCGCTTTTAAATATTTAGGATTAAAGTAATTTAAATAAACAAATAAAGCATTACAAGGGATGATATGGTTTCATGATCCAAGGTTACTTCATTCATTTGTTTCTTCTACATGTATTGTGCCACACAGCAGACAGCATTAACAAACCTCACGCCCCCATAGACATATGTTATTTTATTTATCTGTCTAAGGATTTATATAAATTAAAAATATATACGATAGTTTTGTTATAATTGTTTAATAAACTTTTAAATTTATTTTTATCAGTGAATTTTTCTCTTTGATATTTGGATTAATTAACTAGTCATGAATACTTTATTTATTTTACTTGAAATCTTTACATGAACAAAAGGTAATTAGGATAAACTCTTCCATTTATCTCTAGGTATGAGGAATTCATGACTCATCAAATCCCAAAATAAAATAAAAATAACTCAAAAAACTTGACATGGCCAAGAGGAAGTCATGTGCTCTTCAAAAAGCAAGGAATCCCAAGATTTTGTGCCAAGAATGAATCTTAAAGATATGATTATTATATAAGCTAGAGGTTGTCATGCAATATTAAAACCCATTTGAATATTAGTGGACAGCCAATTATGCTTCTTTGGATAATCATAAATTAATTCATAGGGGTCATGTTTGGATGCATATAATGCGTGAAGATCATTCAGGGAGCCAGCCAAAAGGAAGTAACTTTCTCTTAATCTTTTTTATCAGTATTTGTTGTCGTGGATTCCTCAACATGTTTTGCTGGCTAGTTCCGAAATCTACATATGTTGTAATGTCTATAACTTAATATATTTTGGGGTATATACAAATTTTATACACTGTCTTGTTATAATGAATTTGCCTTTGCCATAAATATAGCTCCCCACATCCAACGCTGCTACCTGATCTAAGTCTATAGTTCGCTCCTTATTCTATTAACCTATCTAAGTATGATTTTGATAAAGACGTGCGAGAGACTGTACCTCTGGCTTAAGGCATATTAAGGGTTTGTAGCGGCAATTGTGATTAATGCTTTATATATATATATATATAGAGAGAGAGAGACACACACACACACGCACACACACACAAACACACACAAGATACATGTATAGTACACAATGGACTTTCGTATGGCCAAAATTGATATGGTTACTTGCTAAGATTGTCCTTATCTTCATTTATCTGATATGCTACCTCTAATGTTACTTCTTGTGTGTCTATTGGTGGAAGGATTAAAGAATATAGATAATGGTTTTGTAATATATAGTTGGATTAAACCCCTCCAATCAAGGCCAGCAGCATGATTGCAACCCCTTCATGATCCTAAATATAAAAGGAAACATCAACATCCTCTCTAATTATGTTACTTTTGCAATTGTATCTGTAACCATATACCAATTTTTGTTTGTGCACTCCAAAGGGCAAATACAACAATCAAGTGGGCATTCAACTAATACAAATAACTTTGTTTGCATTAGGCTATCATTATTGATAAGTCATTCTCTCTCTTTCTCCACCAACCATCAACTCCTTCCCCTCTCTTTATGAGTGATTGTCTACGTGTCTCATAGTCATAGTTCTGTCCATGTTTTACGATGTAGGCGCACAAAAATTTAGTGTTTTGCACGTGAATATATTATTAAACTATAAACACAAAATCCTTTTGTAACCCAATCGTGAAAATGTTTTAAATGTTTTATTGTTAACTAGTGACTTATAAATATAGTAGTTAAAATTAATAAATATTATTTTTTTACTAAAGATTATCATGAAATTATATGGGATGTGTTAATTTTTAAAAAAGTAACGTGTCTTTTAAAAATATTTAAAATTTTATTTTGATAGAATGAGATTACTGCTGATTTTGGATCATGCGGAACACATTTTCCACTCAAATATAAATTATTGAATCTTACATCTCTTTTCTACTTGATGGGATGGGGAACACCCGATCCCCTTGTTTGGATTCTATTATAAATATTTTAAGTTTTGAAATAAAAACATTACAAAGAAGCCCAGTAGTTGAGGAATACTATATCTCATTTTACTTGCTGGGAGAATACTATCTCCTTTTACTTAAAAATAACATGTCCTTAACTTAGTTATATATTTTTTTAAATTTATATTTATGTGAATAAAAACTTGAATCTGTATTCTATACTCTTTGAATACGATATCTATATTCAAATTTACTACCTGCATTTATGTTAAATAATATATATTTTGTTTGTGACAAACCTTCTTTCTAACCAACTGATAAAATGAAACTATTATGCTAATACTCAAGTAACTATAACGAAAACAAATTAAAAAAAACCAATTAAAAGTATATCTTACTTCATTAAAAAAATATATTCAAATATATTTTAAATCTTAATTATAAAACATATCAAATAAGACTTAACTCAAATAGTCAAATTCAAGTCCATTAGAATAAATAATTTTTTTTACAGCAAATATTATAATGTTTTAATATTGAAAAAAAAAACCATGAAATATTTTACCTGAACCATATTACAAAAGCATAATTATATTATATTTTTATTGTTAATTAAATTATCTATCTTGGAGTGTGTTCAGAACGTCAAATAAGCGGGCTCTCAGTTTGATAGGTTTAAAAACTTGTTTGACCAAAATCGAGTCAATCGTTAAAAGAACTTAATTTTCATTTATATCCTCACTGTCTTATTAGAATTCCCCTGCTACTAATACATTTTATATCATCATTATCTACATAATATTTTTCTCACTTAACATTTAATATCATTATATATTTTTTTAGATATCAATGACATGATATTTTTAATTTATTAACTTATTTTTTTTATAAATATTTTGCGTTACATTCATAAATTATATTTTTATTTAGTGATAATAATTAACATTAAATTTTAAATTTATCCTTCAAATTATATTTATACTCACATATTCAGTGCACATCAATTATAATTTAACTATAAATTATCTACAAATACCTTTTGAATTTGACAACTTTATTTGCCTTCTAATAAAGTACTATCCCTTTTTCTAAAACTTTTTGTACCAACAAAATTTTGTAAGTAAATTAAATTTACAAAAATTTACATAATCTAAGTACTGGTCAATATTTCTTTATCATGATATATTTTAATGTTTGATATATTATTTAAAACATAAATAATAAATGTTGTTGAAATACATATTTATAAATATTTAAATTTTGTATGCATAATTTTCATGATAATATTATCATAATGATTGAATTGATAAATAAAATATTTTGAATAGAAATTTACTAAATATTATTTTAAAATTTTTGACACTTAATATAATTTAATTTTAATTCAAAAGTGTATTAATAATTATTGAAGACTAGTCAAGATTTAAAATTAGTTTAATTTGTTAGTAAGTTATGTTCGACTTAGACTTGAGTCTACTTTTAGCTCTAAACCAATGTAGGGAATTTTTTTATATCTATAATTTCATATAAATTGTTCAAGTTTCTCAATGCTAACTAAATTTTAATGTCTACCGATGTAAGGATGCAGCCAATTGATTGAGCTAATACTTGTAAATTATTTTTAATAGTTTATTAATAACAACTCATCCCTTTTTTTAAAAAAAAAGTATAATGAAATTTGACCCTTTAAAATAAAATAAAAAATAAGCATAAATCAAGTGATTGTTTAGCTGTCTTAATTAAATTAATACTGAATAAACAAATTCGAAATAAATTTACATTTAATTTTATGATTTTATAATGATATATTATTAAAAATGGTCAATGGTTTATATATAAATAATTCAAAGATTATGTCAAATTAATAATATTGAAAATACATTTATGCGGAAAAGCCAAAAAGTCTGGATCAATTAAAGTCAGTTTCTATCCGAGCACCGACCATGAATTGAGAAAATATTCTAAGTGGATTCGGTTCTCTTTAAGCGCGTGACAACGACGCGTAATTTTTTCTCACAAATCTTGAGATTTGCTCGACTGTAAGGTGGTGATTAAGATTGAGTAATGCGTGGTTAATGTTTTTTTCTCATAAACTGTCAATAGTTATACTTTTTTAATATTATGATTTTTTAAAAGTAACTCTTTATTCAAGAAAATTTATGTAAATCTTATAAAAAAATGAAATAACATAATTTAACAAATTCAACCCAAACTGACATAAAAAATAAAAGATAATTGCATCATCATTGCACTTGCAAGTATAGTGTTTAATATGTATGGTTAAACAAGTTTGGAAGATGAATAGGAAGACATAATAATGGGTCTTTGTTTGAATACATTATATAAATATACAGTCACAGATTCCATCACTTTCTCGTTCTACTGTTGCACGCTGACACACAGATAGGCACAAAAAGACACCAACTTTTTTCGCTTCTTCTTTGCATTTATTGTTTTCAATTATTCATTCACTCACTAAAATTCCACTCTAAAATATATTTATTGATTCCTCGCCAAAGAAAAAATCTTTTCTTTTTTGTTTTCTACCACTGTCTCCCTCCTCTGTTTCATAGCTTCTGGGTTTCCACAGAACAGAGACTTTCTCAATAGTTCCTTTGTATGCAGAGAAAGAAATGACCGTAGAGCATAGAATGGAGGATTCCAGTGACCAGTTTCCCATTGGAATGCGTGTTCTTGCCGTCGACGATGACCCCACTTGCCTCTTGGTTTTGAAAACTCTCCTTCGAAGATGTCAATATCATGGTCTGCTTCTTTTGCTCTGAATCTTCCTTATTTGTTATTCTCGATTTGGGGTTTTTATTTGTACTTTGTTCATTTTTATTTTGAGGTTCTGTGTCAAAAAAATGTTTTTTCGGTTGTTCTTCGATGTTTTCTAACAAGGGGAGCTTCTATTAGTGAAATTTTTTGTTTGTAGGATCTTTCAGTTCAGGTTTTCGGTCAACCCCACTCCAATATGTTGTCGAGTTTTCATTTTTCTTCATAGTTTTTAGTTTTATGTTGTTTCTGAAATGTTGGTTGAATTGTTCTACTTCTTGTGGTAGTTTCTGTAATAGGTTACAAAAGTCTGAAGCTTACCCTTCGTCTTTTCTTGTTTATTTATTCTCTTGGTTTTGCTTCTTTTTTGTCTGTTATTGCTTGTTTTTCGATGTGGGATCTAACTATTTCTTCAGGATTTGTGATTTTCTTAGATGAGCATTCTGCATTTGTTTTTGTGTTCTGGATGTGTATGCAATGTGCTAGTTTGCTCTTTCAGAATGATAATTCTCTTAGCTATGGCCGAGAGTGCAGTAATCACGACTAGTCAAGCAAGAACAGCGTTGGCGCTGTTGAGAGAAAACAAGGACAAGTTTGACCTTGTAATCAGTGACGTGCACATGCCAGACATGGATGGATTTAAGCTTCTTGAGCTTGTTGGACTTGAGATGGATCTTCCTGTCATAAGTAAGTGCGGATCTTATATGGCTATATGTAATCTTCAGCAGTTCAACCTTACTATTTCTACATTTGGATTCCTGTTACTGATTATTGATATAATTATTAGTCAAGTTAAATAGTTAAGATATTTAGGTATCAAATAATGAGTTTTTTTTTTATATTCTAGTTTAAATATTCATGCTTGTTATGTTGACATCATTGTAGTCATAGTCCTACCAAAGGATTTGTTTAACTTTCATAATTGATTTTTGATAAACTTGAAACTGTGATCCGGAAATAAATCTATTTAGGAATTTTTTTTTTTTTTTAAATCTTTGTGTATTACTGCTTCAATGATTGTTTGGTGAACCTTTGGTGTTATAAAACGTTTTATTTCAGTGTTGTCTGCAAATGGTGATACGAAGCTAGTGATGAAGGGGATTTCTCATGGAGCCTGCGATTATCTGCTGAAACCAGTGAGAATGGAGGAGTTAAAGAATATTTGGCAGCATGTGATTAGGAGAAAGAAGTTTGATTCAAAGGAGAAAAACAAAACCAGCAACCTTGACAAACCTTCTGATAGTGGCAATGGACTAGGGTCAGCAGGAGCAGGAAATTCAGATCAAAATGGAAAGATGACTAAAAAAAGGAAGGATCAGGATGAAGATGAAGATGAGGAGCAGGAGAATGGTCATGACAATGAGGACCCATCTACCCAGAAGAAGGCACGGGTAGTTTGGTCTGTGGAGCTGCACCGCAAGTTTGTTGCTGCTGTTAATCAGCTAGGCATTGACAGTATGTTCTTCACTCTTCTACAACATAAAACAATTGTTATATTTTTTTATCAGTGTCTTCATGAGTTTATTCAAATCGTTTTGCTGGCAGAGGCTGTACCTAAAAAAATTCTTGATTTGATGAATGTTGAAAAGCTTACGAGGGAGAACGTGGCAAGCCATCTCCAGGCATTTTTCTAGTTCTCTTTGCTCTAATTTAGTATAACATAGACCTTTTCTTTCGTTGACAGAATTTTTCTGCTTTATGAAATGGATGCAGAAATATAGGCTATATTTGAAAAGAATTAGCTGCGTGGCCAACCAACAGGCTAATATGGTGGCGGCCTTAGGGGGTGCAGATTCATCATATTTGAGAATGGGTTCTGTGAGTGGAGTTGGACATTTACAAACATTGAGTGGTTCTGGACAGTTCCATAACAATACTTTCCGATCCCTTCCACCTGGTGGGATAATTAGTAGATTGAACACTCCTGCTGGTTTGAATGTCCATGGATTTCCATCTTCTGGAGTGATTCAGTTGGGTCAATCACAAAATTTGAACAACTCCACCAATGATCATCTTAAGTTCCGGTCAGCCATAGTTTCTGTTAATCAGAATGGTGTTCAGGGAATGCCAGTGTCTGTAGGGCTTGATCAAATGCAAAACAATAAGGGTGTTATGTCTGTTCAAAACCTGACTGCTGTTTTTGATGCCAAAACAACTTTTCCCATCTCAAATAAACTCCCTGATCCACGGCCAAAAATAACCGCCTCTGGCCCTCACACTCCGCATCTCGGTATCTCAAACAATGCTTTGACATTAGAACCACACCCTCAAGGCACACAAGGGGGTATGAGATATGAAAATTCTTCTTCAGTAGCACCTCAACATTCAGAATTTTCTTTGGCTTTGCTGGATCAAGGTAGGTATACTGATAATTGGTCAAATGCGGTGCAGCCATCTGTGATCCAGACAAATACTTACCCTCCAAGTGAAAGTTTTAGACAGACAGATATACCTCCAACAGACAACACGGCTTCTTTGCCCTTGCAAGGGGGGAATCCAAGTGTTCCATCCATCACTTCAATGTCTAGGCAACCCCATGATTCAATGGCAGATATGCACTCTGAAGGAGTGAATTTTACTAATAGACCTGCACATATAAGCAGTAATATGCCATTTCAAGGGTGGGATGACCATAATCAGGGTGCTACTTACCATTCAAATATCATATGTGGATCAATAAACACACTGACTCCAGTTAATGGTGCTGCTGTTCCAGCAGGTCAAACTCCAACAATCTCAACCTTACAGAGAAACTTGGACTTCAATTTTTGTGATCCCTTACAAATGAAGCACGATGAGTTTGTGGAGTCAACTGAAGAGACCTCATTGAAACAACATCGGGGAAATATCATCAACCATCAAAAGTCTCAACAAAATTGCTTCTCTAATACTCTTGGTTCACTGGAAGACTTGGTCAGTTCAATGATGAAGCAGGTAATAACATTTGTGCAATATAATTATGGTTTTCCCACAAATGTGTCTGTATGACTTCCTTTTCACATGTTGACTACACCAAGTTCTCACATGCTTAGGGGTGGTTTGATTTAAGAAAATATTTTTCTATTTTCATTTCCTATTTTTTTAATTACAAAACTGTCATCTTGTTTTGTTTTTTTTTGTTTTCTATTTTCAACCAAGTATTGCTTTATCCTTAGACGCATGGTCTAGCATTTTATGTGTGTTAATCGATCCTTTGTGCGTTTTATCTTGCACCTGCCCTAAATTTTCCTTCCACACACATTATTCAGTGCCATGTTCATGCCATGCAGGAGCAAGATAGGATGAAATTATTGAATGGAGACCTCATTTGCGATAATTACTCTGGTGGGGTATCTATGTGATAACAGGTTCATGCCATCCTCGTTGATGAATTTTGTAGAATGACAAGTCTCACTTCGTTGTGTTTATTGTTTAAGCAGTTTTGTCTTCTTGTAGTTATATAGGGTTTAGCTTCTCTAGATTTCTTCCATTAAGGGCTTTTCTTGTTTTATACAAATGCATTGTTGTCCACGGGTTCACCCATGCATTATGGAGTTATTAATCGCGTCGTTTAATTTACGTAGATATGTTGGCCAGCAAATTTATTAGGGATCCATAAATAAGATTATAATGACTATGATGACAATAAACACTTATTCCCCCATTTATGCTTGGAAGTACTTTGTCCCACTAAAATGTATGCATTTAATGTAACTCGTTGTTGTAGCAATAAATGCAATCTTGTGTGGCATGCAACATCACATACTTTTATATATACATACATGTGTTTGGATTCTGAATTATTAATTTTAATTATAACCACTTACTTCAAGGGTATTCAAGGGTATACATGCAACATCACGCACTATTCATTGCAAGATCAAGGGTATTCAATTCGTACGCTACGTTTAATAAAGGTCACGATACAGAATAACATAAGCAACAAAGTGGATAATGAGTTAAAGCCAAAAGGATCCATTAACTACACAGACAACACCTGAAAATACCAGTAGTAAGCACCTGCAGTGGATCCTCTACTAATAAAACTAATTTATTATCACATGGATCAATGAACCACATATCAGAGATTTAACTGACATGTTCTGTTTTTTATAACTAACCGGTGAAACTCTACTTGCATTGAGTAAGGATGTGGGACATAAGGTATAAACCAATGATAAGTCATCTCTTGGCTCTACAGTTACTTTTACTGTCTCGTGAAGAAATTTATCTGGTTTCATTCGAATGTGTGTATCTTTACGAAGACATTGAAAGAAACTAGAAGGCGTCAAAGTCCCCTTTCAAAAAACTAAATCCCTCGTCTTTATTTTCTTTTGAATTAAACCAGTCATCCATACAAGGTAAATAATTTGAATAGAAAAGGAGAAAGAATTACCCTTTTAAGATTAATGGAGTGTACATCGATGTTACTGAAGAGATAAAGCAGTTCCTAAAGAAAGAGATACAAGCACTGACATAAATCAATGATTTGTCGGTAAGTAACCAAATAAAGAAAAGGTCAGTGGGTTAGTGTTACAGAGTCTCAAATAAAAAGCCAAGCTGAGATTTTTACTTTTTAACTGCGGTGCCAATTCTTCACAACGTACACTGTTTTAGGGTTTCAGCAACAAAGGGTTGCTAGCAAAATCAAACAGACCCGAGGGAAGAAAAATGGTGGTTTGCGTGATTACATTAGTCAGCATTCATGGATAAAAATATGACTAGTCAAATGATGGAGCAGAAATAAGTTTAGCATTGAGGTTTGAGGAAAACATCAGTGGTCGATGTGAAATGGAAAATAAATTTATATTTAAAATATAAAGCAATAATAAGAGCACAACCAATTTGAGAAAGAAATTAGATATTTTAACTGTTCTACACACAACTAATTGGTTAGTTGTTACTTAAAGACTTGCACACAATAATATTAGTTACCTTTCCTCCTTTATGATGCAAAGTGTGTAGGATAAAAGTTATGTTGATCTCTTAAAAGAGTTGCACAATGAAGAGTAGCATATATTTAATATAGTATCTACAGTGCAAATAAGGAAATATTTTAGAGCTTCATGTCAATTTCTAAATTACAAGTCTATATTTATATAAATTACAAACAGTACTACATAAATTACAATTGTGAGCTCTTTGCCACACATATACTCTAGTTGGAAAGGCAAAGGCTCCCCGCTCTGAGTGCTTACGCTTCCAAGTCTCTAAGGAGTCACAATTAAAACCCACAAAGCTCCAGGAGGAGTGAGACAATAGCATTGATGTGGGAAACCAAAACCCTGTTAATGGCTTCAAACAGACAATAGGAACCACAGTTGAGCTCTTCATCTCTTTCCCTAATGGATCTTGGCTTGGTCCACCTCATAGAAAAGGAATCAAAGGATATATAGGACCAGATGGGTGGATACGCCACTGTATCTTGTACCTAATAGAGCCACTAGAAAACTTCGTATAGCGTTCTTCCAACTGCTGTGAGTTCATCCGAGTTGCCCAATAGAGCCAAATTGTCTTGGGTTGGATTTCTTTACATCTGCTAACCATAAAAGGAGATGAGATCTCGGTGCACATTTTCAATTGTGCAGCTTATTGCGACTAAACCATTAAATTATTTTCTCACACGACTACGCTAGGATATTTTTCAGTTTTGAGGAAGACGAGTGTCGTCAATTACAGAAAAATTGAACATTCGACTGTCCAGAATAATACATCAAATATATCTGCAGAACCTGCACGCAAATCCTTGATTGTGTAAATTATATATTCTACTTCTCACCATGGCAATACCGTCCAAAATGTGCAATCCTTTGGTTCCGCTTCCCTTTCTATTCTATTAATCTTCTTTCAAACTGAAATACCTTGACCAGAAAAAATATGTCAACGGATAATTATAATAATTAGTTTCATTAACGAGAAATCAAGGGTAACGTATCGTGTAGTATACAATTGACTTCAATTCAATTCCTTAGAAAAGAGAAATCAGGGCAACAACTCACGAAAATTAACAATTTCTAATCGAGTTAGTTGCACGGGATTTAATAACTCAGAATATGCTAGATAGTGCCTTTTAGTTTTTAATCTACTTGACTTCTAATGAGTTAAAAAATGTTGATTGAGACTATTATGTTACAAGGTACAACAAATTTCTGTCTACTTAGATATTGCGTTTAATCATCCAATACAATGACCCCAGCATCAGATTTCTCTGGGTTTTCATTCAACGGAGCATCATTCTTAGTTTCATCCATTTCTGTATTACTTTCCTCTTTCTCCGGAAGACTCGGTGTTTCATTAATTTCTTTTACCAAGCTTGAGCTGCTTTCGTTTTTAAGTTCAGATTCTATTATCATATCTTTACTCTGGTTGTCCGTTGAATCATCACGTTTGCTGTCATCTTGAGGGATTGGCAGCGACTTGGAGCCCACAACTTCACCGTGTGATATAACCTCTGATTTGTTATCTGAATTTGATATTGGCATTTCTGAAATAGGTTGTTCTTGTGCGGGTGTTAGAATTCTGTTGATTTCTTCACAAATGGTTTCTAGCGGAGGGAAATTCTTAACCCCATTGATCTCTGCTGGTTCTCTTGTCAAAGAAGTTTGAACTAAATCCATGGGGTTTTCCTCCACTACCTTGCACATCTGCTTATAAAGAGGAAAGATTGTTAATACAGATACTCAGCAGAATACTACTTTCCACCACCTGATATAATTGAATGAAATGACCAAGTGACCCCTTATCAAGAGCAGGTCATGAGAATACAACAGCACTTTTACCTCATTGTAAAGTCGAACTAATTCCAGTCGATTTGGATCATTATCACAAGCAACCAAAATTTCTTCAGAAGCTGCAGAAAATGGCAGCACTACAAGTAAGTCTTCTAGTCTTTTATTTCCCTATTTTCAGTTGGGTATGCTGATAGTTACCGTAGAATGTGGGATAACATCAGCAAAGAAAAAAACAATGAAATGGGAAAAACTACAAGACACAGACCACATTAATAAAATATCTGGAGAGATTCTTGCATACTTGCTTTAACATTAATCTGACAGCACAGATTCTATTTCTGAGCAATGTCATTTAATTGTCCAGGTGAAATATTATAGGATCATGCAAGATTTCCTCCATTTCTGATGCAAACTAGGCAACTGCTGTTGTCTGATTTAGACACAGTACCTAGTGAACAAGAATAGAATCATACCTATTGTTTCAACTTGCGGCAGATGATCAATCATTTGGGTGTCTGTGTCCCCTAATTTATAACTAGGAATATTTGTAGCCTTGAGTTCACTTTTCAGTTCTTCATTTGTTACTTCATTTGCTTTAGGATCACCCTAAAAACAAAGTTCATGAGGAAGAAATGTCAGCCCACAAGCAAGCCTTTTACAAATCACACATTCTGTACTTTTGTATGATGTACCATCGGTAAAATCTATACAAAATGAAAGTACATCTATAGCTTTAACTAAGGCTGTGAATGCAGAATACTTATTGATGGCAATAATCGAAAACCAAACTGAACATGAAGTTCTACAACAGGTATGGGAGTGAAAAATGATACATATGGGAGTGGAAAAGCACAAAAAAGATACTTCTGGGAGTAAGTATAGATGGAAACCTAATATGCTTTAGGAAATATCCAACTATTAAGAGGCTCATGAACATCAACCAAAGACAATAGTACCTAATTGTGGCCTTCCATTGTATGCCATAAAAACAAATTAGTACTTGGACATAGACAATGACCACTACAGGTCACCACTCCGATGTACAGACAGTAGTGCATGCCCAACTTTCCATAAGACGGAGCAGTAAAGCCAAGACAATAAGTTATCAGCTACCTGAAGTTGGGTACATACAGAAAGATCATTCTCCCCTACTCTTCCATTTCCCAATAAATTCTTTCTTCATCTTCCATAACCACCAAAAAAAGATAATAGAACATAAAAACCATAACAGCCATGTTTATTTAGCTTTCACCTCTCAACCTCATTATAAAGCTAAATCCTAGCACTCTCAAAGTAGTAGCAGTTCTTTTGATTGGCAGTACCTAACAAGGAAACTTCTGATAAAAAATAATGCATCTATGATCAATTTTCAACTATTGTTCTATTCCTGAATCTTATGCATTCCTAAGAGAAGGAAATTATTTATAAGATTTTAAGCACCATGACACTTACAAAATATTCTTTCTGATACTCTGCATTAAGCCCTTTTTCCAAGAGAAGAACCCTCTTTTTTATAAACTCAACCTGTCTTCTCTGCATGTCTCTAAAATGATATAATATGGAGGAGTCCTGATATAACTGTGCTTGGTTCCTAGCATCACCAGAACCTTGTGCACCATCCGCAGTTATGTCACCCCCACCATTTTCCCTAGATTGATTGCTGGGTACTTCCGCATTTGTCAAATTTGCTCCATTTTGTGCCTGAGAGCCAACTTGTCCTTGCACTGGTAAATTTATAAAGGGAAGATTCAACTCCTGGCATATGACCTCCTGAATCTTCAGATCCTTATCATCAACAATAGCTTGCCACCTTCCATACCCATGCCTTATATAGAAAGATTTATGTTAGAAAATAATATATCAACAAATAGACTCGACAAAAGATTTGACAACCAAAAACCCAAAATTACATTAGAATATACCAAAGGAGAATGAAAACTAACTTGCAAAAACACAGTAGACAAGTACCATAGACTCTATGGTATTTAATTCTACATTTTTTGTTGGTAATTAAGAGTGTGTCTATTGTCAATTGTCACTCTTATTTAGGTGATTTTGTCTAGAATACCATTTTTTTTCTCTCTTGTAACCATATTAACAGCAGGGATGTTTTACAAAAATCACTTACATAGGAGTGGCAATAAACACTCCCAGTAATTACACATGCAAATATTTGATGGCTAATATCATGCAGTTAGAAGATATTATTTGTCACACTGTTCAAGAAAACAAAAGCTGTATTGAAATACATACTTCAAAACAGCACGCAGTAAAACTAAATCATGCTCCTCCTTCCATATCTTTGCACCCTTCAAACCTGGATAGCGTAATAAGATGTCATCCGAAAACAATGTTGTTTGAGAATGTTGTGATGCAAACTTCACCTGTCATTCCACATCCCAGGAGGAGGAAAATACATTTTCAGCTAGACAACATTTAACTTTGAAAAACACATTCAACGTCCTTCCCCAAAAATAAATAAATAAATGGAAACAAAAAACCTGAACCCAAAAGGAAAAGTAATATGCAAGTTAAACTTAAATCCAATCTCAAAGTGCATGTTTTGGAAAATAAAAAATAAAAAATCCAGCAACTACTCACTTATTTATCAAAAACACTCACAAAGCTGCCAGGAATAAGACTATTTCTTTAAAATAGGCTAAACTAACACACCCTAAGTCTTTGACACAATAAGACATCAACAAACAGAAAGTTCCACATAATTATAGAAACCAAGTTTTTCTTTAAATGAATGCTTCAGACCATCTTTAAATAGGTGGCACCTCATGGTCCATTGATAGCATAAACTACTTATATACTCTGAGGACAAATTAAAATCATAAATACAGAAGCATGAAGTTCCATTTTCATCATATATTTCCCAAAACACTGCAAAGAAGGGTATTGGAGCATTTAATACCCGGGCATGCATCAAGATGCTATCACAAATTTTTAGAATAATAGTTGAACTCAAGAACAGCTTCACATGACATGATGATGATAATCTTGGTAAAATAATATCTAGTGTGAGAACAACTAACCACACAAGCAGTTAATTGAGATTAAGTGGCTACTCATTAACAATTCATTGCACATCGAAGACAGAACAATTGAGTGAATAATTCTCTGAACTGGAAATATTTTTACCAAGAGTTCCTATCTTAAACTTTTACCATACCCCTTATATTGACCAATGGAGCAGAATCATATAAAATGCTTATAATGATCAGTTAAAATATGCAAACGTAATTCATAACTTACCTTGTCCCTTATCAAGAGCAGAACTGCAATCCTAACAAGTACATCTTGGATTCGGAGTCCTTCTTTGGGAACACCATCTACAGGAAAATTATATACAAAAAAGTAAGATTCGGAAACAAAAGATGCAGGGAAAAGGAGGGAAATTAGAGAAGTTCTAATGGCAATTAAGATCTATCACCTGTGAATGTAGAGGAATCAGTTATATCTTCAGCAATATGAGACAGGAAAAGGGTTCCATAACTGTAAACAAAATATATATACAAGTCAAATTCACTCACAAAGAATGACTTGAGTTATGACAAAATCATAAGATGGGTAATAAAATTATTAAACAATGTTAAAAAACTATATCATCATCATTCAGTATGGTAATGCTTAGCATAATCCAAAACAGGTTTTTATTGCAATTTTTATGTTTATTTGGGCCTTTTTTACCTTAAGTTTACTAATAAATTTTCAATTAGGTATATATCCACAAGTACATGCATGTGCTTACACATCAAATAACAAATATAAGCCCATGCTTAACATATGTGTGCATGCCATATACAGATAAATTGCCAGACAGAAAGCACATGTAACATTAAGAGAGAAGTACTTGAGGAGTACATCATGCAGGATGTGTCCAAAGGCAAAATAGCAGTTTCATTGCAGCTTTAACCAACTTTACATATTTTTGTAGGGCCAACAAGAAGTTCCAACAAAACCAAAGCAAAGGAAAGACAAAACAATGCAACAACCTCACATGCAGTGCCCCACATGAAGAGAGTAGTTATTAATATACAATATAAAATTATGTATAAATGTTTGCACATAAACCCAAAATTATATTTAAAATAAAAACTCAGAAATATATCAAACATCCTAAATAGAGTAACAGATTAAAGAAAAAACATATTAATACTCTTTGATTTCTTCATAAGTCTTCTGCTTCATCCGGGAAGTAAACTCCTTCCAATCAAAATCACCAACTCCAAACCTGTAATACACACAAGAGTGAGATGAACCACAGAAATTGACATGTAAAACCCTTTTCTCAACTTAATATATAAAAACATGAAGAGAAAGTAACCTCATCAAAATTTGCACAAATGCAGCCCTCTGATTTTGATTAAAACCAAGCACTCTGAATGCTTTTCCTTCCCCTTCCATCAGAGGAAGTGGCTCTGTGCTATCTGCTGCTAATAAAAGTAAATGAATATTAGCCTCACCCTCATATCAAGCCAGATAATCTAGGTCCATCATATCATTTAAAAACTCAAAACATTAATTAAATATTGGCACATACCACGTGCTTTCTTTTTATAAGGCCTTCTAATAGTAGCAGTTCCAGTAGAATTTGAATCACCATCTGTAAGATCTGCTTCATAATTGTCATCTTCCCCGTCAGAGCTTACATCTTCCAGACCAGCAAGGTCATCCTCCTCAACAGAAACCATCTGCAAAGTCAAGTAATAAATACTACATCACGACAAATTAAAAGAAGATACAGAAAAGGTAACTTGACAAAATTAACCACAGAGGTTGCAACCCGCCCCCCCCCCCCACCGGGCCAAGACAAACAAACAGACTTCCACAGATCATTCGCTTAGCATACATCATATATTGAAAGGAAAAAGAGGAACAAACTCCTCAAGACGTACTAAGGTAGAAAGTAACATTAGAGAGCAAACCGAGTATGAATTGACACAGTTGATTGTAATCTCAAACTCATAAATGACAAGAACTGATAATCTTTCTATTGCAAATTAATACACAAAAATGGAAAAAATTCAAGAATCACATACCAGCTTGCGGTTTCGCTTCCCTTTGCCTAAGGCATTAAACTCCTCAACTTTATGCTCTTGATACCTGTCTTTTAACAACTCCTCCCAGTAATGCGTTCTTTCTGAACTGTTCAGAGTCTCCATTGCTCTTTTTTGTGCTGCCTCTTCTTCTGCTGCAGCCTGAACCTCATCAACATACTCAAAATTTGCAACCTAGATCATAGAATGCATTCAGTCAATTAAAAGCACAGAACCCAAATGGAAACCGTCAAATGAATGGTAGCAAATAAATTATGCACAGTTATTTGTTGTAATAAAGGTAAAATTGATGTGGGGGAAGAGTGCTCCATCAACAACTACAAGCACATTTTTCACAAATTTTTCCCATATTGTGAAGAAAGAAGTAGCACTTTCAACAACCTTCATTTTAATAAACTATTAGGAATGACAGTACATCTGAATTTAGCAACTAATTGTTTCAAAAAATCCACCATAAAAGTTATACAAATGAGTTCATTTTTGCCGCTGCATGTTGTTAATACTAATTATTTAAATTGTTAATATTCAATCATTTTCAATTCAGCATGTTTAAAGAGCTCTAGGCTAAGACAAAAATTCATGTCACAAATATAATTACAAAGGAAGAAAAGTGAAAAAAACTATCACTTGCATTCAAAATTTAGCCAACCATCGTTTCATAAAATCCACCATAAAAATCATAAAGATGAGTTCATTTTTGCAGTTACACATTGTTCATACCAATAATTTAAATTTTCAATATTCAACAAATTTCAGTTTAGCATGTTTAAGGAGCTCTACGCTAAGAGAAATTGCATTTCACAAATATAATTAGGAAAGAGAAAGGGAAAAATGCAAAACTTTTTTGCTTGAAATTTTTCTTAAAAAAATATTTCAATGAATAGAAGAGCATGATGAAATATGTAGCTACAGAATAATAAATGTACTTCAGGATGAGATCAAAGAGACAATCCACTAGAGGCCCACATAATGGTTACATCAATGGTAGCAAATTCCAAAACCAAGCCTAGATATAGGTACAGTAAAGCTAAATACTCATGACCAGTGGATTGCCAGAGCAATACTTTCAAAACCAAAAAAAATCCATAAAGTAGATGCGGCCAAAACATTTTTTTGTGCACAGACAGACCAATCTAGTTGTACTTCTCACATCCAATTTTCTTTTGATTGATTTATACGGGGTATCTAAGTCCATATAGATCTGTTACTATAAAATGATAAATGACGGGTAGAAATTAGTCATCTGTCAATTCACCATAAACCACGGTGGATAAATCAAAGTTGAATATGCATTAAGAGCACAAAAATTAATATGCAAGTATGAACAGTCAACCTTAAAGGCCTTCAAAAATCCATCTTCTTCTTCATCATCCAAAGTAGCCTCTTCATCTCCAACTTGATCACGATCTAGCAATCTATTAAGAAGAAACATACAAGAAATAAAATTCTTAAGCATATTGCTATCATATTTAAGGAGAAGTATGCTTGATTACCTGTCAATAGCAGCAGCATCATAATGGATTTGACGGGATTTGCCTGCTTCATCATTCTCATCTGCAAATAACTCTTTTGAACCATACCTTATGATGTCATCCAACTCTTCCTGAGCACAATGAAGCCAAAAACTACATCAAATCTTTTATATTTCTATGTTCAATGGACAGATCAAATGTTCAATCTGTTGTTAAATAATTAAAATTCCTAATCGACATTAGACTTCACTATTTTAGACAATCTCAAACTCTAGAACAAAAATAGCATATCCCAGACTCAATTAATATACTCAAAATAAATATGGGTTAGCAGCTTGTACATATCAATAACTTTATATATGGGAAAAGGGTAAGAACAAATACCCCCAAGGACACATTGGACCATGTAGGAAGCTCATGTGTTCATTGTTATTTATGGTAGTTTCCCATTTGAAATATATGATTGTTCAATTCTAAAAGCAGCTTTTTTACTGAGGAGTTTAGGGCATTCATACAGGTACAATGCCTCTGCCTATTTTCTGGAGTTCCCTATTAGTTAAACTAGGGAATTTACTTTGTCTGGTAAGTATAGAGAATTGAGTGCTTTAATTTGTTAATGCACCTTTATCACTTCTTTTATCATCTTTTTAAGGAGTATATACCTTACCCTCATTTTCACTTTCATGTGTTTCCTTTCTCTTTTTCTTAATAATATTTCCTTCTTTTAGTGAAAAAAAATGCATTAAGGAGCATCTACTTTCAGTAAGAAATAAAATCAATTTATGTGTATATTCTATTACAACTATGTACAAATATACCAACAAGTTAGTCATATTCTGACACGAAGGTAAAATAAACAGTGCTACCAACAATGACTACGAATGAGTATATATGAATTGGAAAAGGAAGACATTTGATACTCCTGCACCCATGCTTTACTACTAGTCAATGATATCCATTTACCATCAGGTTTCTGCAATCCAGTCATATCAATAGTTTCATAAAACAAAAGCAAAAGCAGACAAGATGATAGCACCTAACCAATCATAATTAATGCAGCCTTAACAATGAGACTGCAACTGTTATCAGCTTTTACAACACAATCATTTTCCATAAGTAATTATTTACCTGGTTGATATTTTGAGCCTTTAGCCTCCCTACAACTAGGTGTTCCAACACCATTTTCTTCTTAGTCATCTGCATCATCCTTTCTTCAATAGTTCCTCGTGTTATAAGCCTATAAATTAACACCTACAATGCCAGAATCATTATAACATTTAAAGTCAACAATAATAATCAACTACGTACCAGTGAAAAACCTCAAACCTTGTTAGTTTGTCCAAGTCGATGAGCTCTAGCCATAGCTTGTAAATCAGCATGAGGATTCCAATCACTATAGAATAACATCTTGATCAGTAAGTTAAAAGAAAAATTGGATTGAATTATACAACAAACCGGCAAGATTCTATCTCTATATATTAAATGTGGAGTACTCATTTTTAAATGATAATGTTTTTAAAAGTTGTTAGCTTTTTCATTATGCCACATAACTTTCCATACATTGAGTAGCTGCTTTTTTATTTAATTATAATTTGAATTTTAAAATCTTCATAATTTTATTTTAAATTTTAAAATTCTCAATTCTTTAATTGACCTATTAAATATACTAAAATATTTTTTATTAATAATGAAAATGTTTACTCTTTAAAATTTATAAATTTTAAAATAATCATACAATATACCCTTAATTTTTATACAAAAAAAAATTTAATTTAATAATATCGTGCAGTGCACGGGAAACTCACTAGTAAAAGCTTAATCTTTCAGCATCACATGGATTGTAAGCATGAAAGAAAGGACTGTAATGAGGATCCCCATTATTTAACTTCAAAACAGCAAAGAGGTTAACAAGATTACTTCCCACATTACTGTAAAGATCCATTATACGGAAATAAGCAAAAGAAAACATGTTGTGCAAAGCAACGTATGTGCTTTAACTGTTCCAGATTTATTCAAATAAGGTGAAAATTGTTTCAGACCATAAAAAGTGATTATATATGGAAGTATTTTATAGCATTTCTTTAGAAGCTATTCTTTTAGCTTCAGAAAAAGGCACAAACAGTTATTTTTTAGTTTTTTAAACTTATATACTCAATAAATTTTTTAAAACATGTCATCAAATTTAAGGCAGCACTTAAAAGAAACACACACACAAACAAACAGGCCTTAGCTAGAACCAGCAAAGCAAGAATCTCGAATTTCCTTTTAATGTAATTCACACCATCCTTATCCAATCATAGAACATTGTTAAACATGTACAAAAAATTTGTGCAAGAGAACTTTGTGTTCCCTTAAAATTATTCTTCTTTTCCAGACCTCATTTAGAAGTATCGCCAGAAACTCATTTGGTCACTAAAAAATATTCAATAAAAAAGTTCATGCAAGACAAACTGATCAGGAAGTTGCTGTAATACCATCTAACTTTTTCAGATCATAGATGAATGCCCCATGCTTACAACCCAGCCAACCAGAAAAAGCTCAATCTTGTCATATACTTAAGTAGGCTATTGCCAGACTAACATTAAAAAGTAGAATTTAAGATAATCTAGTAACAACTCACACAGATAATACACAAAAGTAAACAACAAAGAAACAGCCAAAAAGAAACAAGACAGACTAGTAATAAAGAAGATAAAGAGAAATTCACCAAACCACTCATTTACAATGGAACTAAGACAGTGAATGGCCAGGATACAATAAACTGCTATCTTGTGCCTATTTCTATTGGCTTTCCCAGAGGAAAATGCAAATGCATTGAAGATAGCAGTTGTAATTGTGGAAGCTGAAGATATATTTTAACTCAAAAAAGAAAATCCTTTAGACATTAAAACTTGTTTCATGGCTAATTGTTAATATTTATTTTCATACTTATTATTCTAGAAGAAGGAGAAAGGCAATCACAGGAATTAAAAGGTTCACCTATCATATATAATAACTGTGTCAGCAGTTGCAAGGTTTATCCCCAATCCCCCAGCTCTAGTAGAAAGCAGAAAGCAAAATCTTGAAGAATTTTTGGCATTAAAACGATCTATGCGAACTTGTCTTTCAGCTCCACCAACCTTGCCATCTATCCTCTCATACTGCCAATTCTATTTTTTCAAAAGGAAAAAAAAAAAACGAATATCATAGTGAAGCAATCAACTTCAAAAAGCAATAGGTTACTATTACTATAACACAATAACCTCATACCTTGTAAGAACAGTAATCCTCAAGCAAGTCCAGCATGTGCTGAAATTGGGAATATATGAGGACTCTATGTCCTTGCTCTTTAAGCTTCACCATCATCTTGTCCAGCAATTGCAACTTTCCCGATGATTCCAGCAACTGTCTGTCAAATAAAAATGAAAAGGAAAAATAGAGTAAATCCATTCATGTATAGTACAAGTACAAATTAGATCACAATATAATATAACCCAACATAATAGAAAAATAATTCATTTTTGTTACAATTAACAAAACCTAACAATTTTAAATAAGGTAAAAAAAGAAACATTCAGCACCATATAAGCACAGAACCCAGTATTTCTAACAGACAACCATAATTTCACTCTCAAAATAGTGACACAAGAACTTACTTGTATGATTCTTTTGGATCATCAATATCTGGTTCAACTCCTTCTAACATGTAAGGATGACAACAGAGCTTACGCAGTTCCATAACAACATTGATAAGAGAAATCTGATTCAAAAACATACAAAACACAATGATACCATAACTGTTAAGATGTTTTGACTTTTACTTATGAAGCTAAGATTAATATTAAATCAAAGAGGTCAGTTCACTAAAGCATCAATCTTGCCTGTGCACCACCACGACGAGTTAATATCTGATAATTACGGGTTAAAATCGCCTTATAATATTCTTTCTGTTTGCTGCTCAATTCAATACGTAGAATAAGTTCCTTTTTAGGTGGTAGCTCCTTCATGACATCTTTCTTCACTCCTGCAGGAGTATTAAAATTGTGAATCCACAACTCAGCAATACACTTTTCTATAAACAAATTATCAACTATTTAGTTTACTATCAGAATGACAAAACCATTAATAACCAAGGCTCTGAGAGCCCTCTTGCAATTTCCATTAACACAAAACTTAAAACCACAAAATCAAATTATCAGAATTAGAGTAACCCTGTGAACTTCAATTTAGAGGCCTAGCATTAAAACAAACAATATTAATATCCTTCAGCGATTAAAAAATAATTTCTTGCCATAAGAAAGTCAAGAGATTTATGGACCATTTCAACATATCAATCACTTTTCTTTTGGTTGAGATATAGAAGCCTATATGCATAACAAGATCAAAAACTTCTAAACACCATTTCACTGCAGAATGATTGCAGAGTATACAGAATGAGAAAGGAGGATCAACATCTTCAAAATTGATCCAAGTCTTGCACAAAGGAATAGCACATCAAAAACAGCCAAACATCCAATCATTTGCTTAATATTGACTGAGAAGCCTGATGCAATGCTCTTTCAGTGAATATTAAAAATTCTGATATTTTCTTCAAAAACAATTCTTTCTTGATACCCAAAGATCTGGCAAGTTTGACAAATTTCATTGAAGTATCAGAAAATTTGATTTTTATGACTTGGAAAACCAAGTTCATCAGAGTTTGAGCAAGAAATATATATATATATAGGCAACACAAAATTAGCATAACAAAAAACTTCAACTAATAGCCTCAACACCATATTATAGATCTTGAGGTTGAACTATAATCTAGACAAGCAAAAAAGGAAGTGAAATCGTGACACATTTTCAAGATTAAGACGCTTACTTCGCAGGAGATGTGGGGCCAACATCTTATGAAGCCTTGAGATCTGTTCCTCTTGATTGATATCCTTAAACTCTTCCTGGAACTCCTCTAAACTTCCAAACTACCAATATTCAAAAAGATAGACCATGAGATACTCTTGACCTTCATGAGCAAATTTAATAATCTAAAATCATGTTTTATCTTATAGCACATTTCTCATACAAACCTTCCCAGCATCAAGGAAGTGCATAAGCATAAAAAGTTCATCCAAGTTGTTCTGAAATGCATCAGACAAGCTGTCATTAGTACATTTCAACTTCCAACAGATGAATTCAATATAAGCAACCTCGCTTTAAACAACAATATGTGCATTAAAAGGTATACAGCGTACCAGATAAGTTTCCATTCGTAAATTTCAATAGGAAATTTAACAAATCCAACCATTGATTCTAGATAAGAGTTGATAATCCAGAATCAAAACAAGAAATTAATTATTCAAAAATTCAAATTTGTGTAACTATGTCACTGTAAACACCCAGAAATACAAAATAGCTCATAGTAAAGACTCACACAAAGCATAGGCATAATCAATATTCATGTGATTCCATAATCTGACTTGAGATAGTCTTTCTAGTTTCAACAACTGGTAATTATACAGACAGTTTGAGGTTTTATTGGCAGTGGAATTGACCTTTCAGTTAACTGAATTCTGTCCTTGTTGTTTAATAAATAAAGGCGTCTCAATGTGCATCTTACAATGGCAAAATTAATCAAGATTGGGAGCTCCACCTCCACATAAATTTGCCTTTTGCCAATTTCATTCATATATTAATAATATTCAAGGTTATCCAATCAAGATTTAAATTGAGTCAGAAGATCCATTTTCTGAATCATGAATCGTCATATTATGAATCATAAGATACATGATCAATAATTGAAAAAAACATGATATATTTTCACATTCACATAAAAAAAAGCATTTAAAACATACAGATATTGGCATTACAAAGTTAAAAAATTCATGTCTATACTGAAACATAAACTAACATGTAAATTTCAAAGTAAACAAAGAGTGGATGGTGTGGGAAGAGACAGTGCTGTGGGCAGATAATGGACAAAGGGGAACCAACTCTGGCAAGAAGCACTGTGGGAGGAGACAGAAAGCACTGGGTAGAGGCAGATAATGGAGTGCTTCCAAACATGAAGAATGGTTGACCGACTATATGATTTTATTCCAAAATATTCTGACTCGGGATAATGGGGAGGCAAAAATATTATGTCACTTTCCCTCCCAGCATATAAAAAATGGGGTGGGGGGCAGAGCTGTGGAGGGGGGGAAAACCCTAAAAACAAGTTTTTCAGAACTGATCACAGACAACACACCCAGTTTTGCACATGACCTGGATGTGACAATTTCCAAGTTAAGGCAACAAAAATATTATGATAAGCATTGATGGTACAATGAAGGTGTTGGAATTATGTAATTAGAGTAATATCGTAAATAGGAAAATTAGTATCTTTATAATTATAGTAACTTCTTATTTTGTATCAACAATTCCTATTATAAATATATGTTTCGGTGTGTAGTCAAAATACATGGATTCATCCTATGTTTCTTGTTCTCTTTTCTCAACAAAAGGTAACAAAGCTTCACGCTGGATATATTAAAAAAAACTAAATATATTTTAAGGAAATATATGAGCAATTCAAAATCCAGCAATCCACTAACAATTGTATGATCCAGGTTCAGAAAATGGAACTTGTGGCATTAGTCTATAGCCACAACTAATTTTTCAGACAGAATCCAGCCAGCATGCCCAAAAAACAAACCAAAAATATGACTCAATTAACCAATAGAAGAAAGTTAGGGCATAGTCCCACAATAAATCACTATGATAAAATTTAAAATGAACCTGAAGAGGAGTTCCAGTCAAGAGAACACGATGTCTGCTAGAATACTGCTTCAATGAAGAAAATAATTTTGAATCTTTATTTTTGAGACGGTGACCTTCATCAACTATCTACATACACATAAAGATGTCAGGCTATCAGCATTTGAAGAAACCAGAAATGAGAATAGCAGTAATAGAAGCAACTGGCACACTAATATATCTTGTTCTAGTAATATAATGGTAAGAAGAATCATACCATGCACTCCCATTTTATAGGTTTCAATGATGCTGTGTCAAAGTTGATCATTTCATATGAAGTCAAAAGGACATCAAACTTGATCCTTTCTTGCTTGCTTTCACTAATTATCTGACCAGATTTCTTTTTCTTGATCTTCTTCTGTTTCTTCGGAAAGTAAAATTCATACTCTCTTATGACACTGCGAGCTTGGGCAGATCCAACATACATAAGCTACAAAAGCAAACATAGAATTAAAAATGTAATTACCTCAATGACATTACTAAGAAATCCCTGTATACATACCACATTCATTTGAGGTGCCCATGTTGCAAATTCACGTTCCCAGTTTCGCAATGTTGAAAGTGGAGCAACCACTAGATGGGGGTAGACGCCCTCTTCAAAAAGGGATGCTAAGAAAGCAATGCTTTGAATGGTTTTTCCTGCAGGTGAAAAGCTCAGCCATTTTGGTGCAATAATATACTTCTCAAGTAACTTCAAATTGGCAGAGGGAGGAGAGACAAACAGTAAAAGGACAGACAGGCCCAACAGGGCTTGGTACAGCTCAAAACGAATTGCTTATAGGTACACTATAAACCCTTGTTGGGGCTTGTAGCATGCCGTTACCTATCAGCCCTTGTTGGGGCTTGTAGCATGCCCTTGCTTTGGGGATGGAGTAGCCTTCCATCCGCCTAAACTTTTTAATAACCCAAAAATAAGGGAGTGCATAAATAGACAGACAAAAAGAGAGATAAACAGACAGCCTACCCAGTCCCATTTCATCAGCAAGTATAACATGAGTTTGCTTGGACCAAGAGAATCGTAGGAAGTTCAAGCCTTCAAGCTGATATGGGTGAAGTGTACCTTCATTAATGTAAAAGTAAAATCAGGCAAACTAGATCATCCCCATCTAAAAAATTATACATCAAACATAACATTTCCAGAAGAATAAATGAGCTAAAGCAACATACCACCTGAAAGAAACTCAGGGCTATGTTCATATTGTTGAAATTCTTTCTGATGTTTCCTCAATTCAGCATCATCCTTAACACTGCTTTTTTGTTTACTAGAAGAAAATTTGCTGGATCTAGACCGAAATCTATTGAATCTTTCTATTTCTGGCTGAAATGCAGAAATATCCGACTCAAACTCCCAATAGCATTCATCATAAGGAAGCTCTTTCCACTTCACAAGATATTCTCGCTCATCATCACCACCCCTGTTCCATTTAAACAACATATTCAAATTCAACAAAAACGTATATTTGTTGCCAATTTTAGAGGAAAAAATAGGATAAAAAGATTATGCAAACTTTCTAAGCCATTATGTTGCACATTGCACTGTCATCATTCTCACGATTACATTACAAAAAAATTGACAATAGCAAGGTTTTTCTCTGGTTGGGGAGAAAAATAAAAGAAAAAAGTATCAATGAAGAAGACAAGGAAAAATAGTAAAAGACAACAAAAAATTTGAGGATATTCTCCATCATGTATACTAGAATAATTTCTCTCAGCCAATATACTATTTCCTATTACTTGACTAGGATAAAATCCAGTATGATTTATCATCATATAAGAGGGCTAAACTAGAAGAAAACTAAGAGCTAAAATGAAGATTCAAAACTCCATCTACATGAAAATATCAACCCAAAAAACTGCAAAATGATCTATGCATAATTCACACACATGCACTTACACACACCTAAAGTCAAGAATGAAAGTTTGCACCTGACCTAACATAGCCTGCCAACATAACCAAAATTGCTGTTAAATATTCTATCATTCAAACTACCTGCAAGCAAGTATTCGATCAACCGTAGTCCATTCAGGTCGAATAGCAACAAAGTCTTCATCAGAAGTATTGACAGATGCCATTTTTTGATGGAAGTTGTTCACTTTGGTCTTAAGACGAGGATGAGTTTTGAATGCTTTCAAAAACTCTTTCTCTGGCACCCTAAAGAAAAGAAGCACATGCAACAGGTAAATAGAAAAGAGTACATGTAAGATAATAATAATACTGAAAGCAAAAAATTGGGTGTGAATACATATATAGATAGAGTAAAAGTGAGGAATTGAAAGTAACACAGAATAAGCATGCAAAAAGTTTACTTGACAACACAGAAAGGTAGAACATAGTAAAGGATGAGTTCCAACAAATTTACCATGTGCAATGTAAATATGATAGTCCCTTCCACTTAACAAGATATTGTTTGACAAAAATTTGCTTTGACCCTAATTTTGTGGCATCATTGTCAGCGGCTACAGTGGGACGCATCTCACAATCTAATATCTTATCAATATCATTAAGTGGGCTAACCTGAAAAAATATGTATACATACAAAAATATATATAAGTACTGGCTACCACTAAAAAACAGAAAATCATTATAATATTGCCAGTACAAAATATAAACACTTACACATTCAGGGCACCTCCAATTGCCTGGAAGGGGACCTTTAAGTGGTGGAACTAAACATCTAGGATGGTAAGCATATGTGCAAGTTTCACAGCTCAGAAGATTTTCACTTTCTCCACAAGTTTGACATGAATCTTCTTTCTATTGAGAAGAATTGAAAAATTAAAGCAAAAAAGAGGGGAAAGTGAGAACAAACATTTATCATTGTAAAGCAATAACACCAAATCTGCAAAGAAGCTAACTATACCAAGCAATGTCAAATATTCAACATTTACGGTTAGAAGTTAGCTTCAACTATTATTATTAATGAGAATAATAATATTCATAATGTGTTTGTAACATAACATTTTTTACATTTGGATAAAGAACAAATTTTGTTAGACAATAGAAAGAGAGAGGAGTATAATGAGTCAGAGAAACTAAAAGAATGAAAAAATCAGAAAAACAAGAAAACACATCAAGTAGCAAGGTTTGCCAATCTCTTTTAGCATCCAATAAGGAAATTTCTTAATTCTTAAATAGCCATTATCAGATCATTACAAAGAAGCTAAGAGACTACTCCAAATTTCTCATAACGGTTTAAATCTATTTTTATGCTATAGCCAATGTAGTGAAAGGCACAACTAAGGCACTGAGGCAAGAATCTAGAAGGGATCAGCACCCTTTGATGGTTGAGGTGCTGCTCCTACATTGAGGTAATGCCTCTAACGCCATACTCACACCTATAACTGTAAGTAATCATAAAGCCCAGCCATCTAACTTGCTAGTGTGATGTTAAAGGTGGCAAATGAGTCAGAATTATAGACGATAACAATAACAAGGGTCTTTCTAACAGAAATTTCCAGTTTATTGATACATTAACTTAACCATACATTTGCCTAGTAACAACAACAACTAATTGTTGGTCTTTGGAACTCTTAGCAGCAAGCTACTTTGAAAAATGTAAATTAAACATCTTAATCTTTTGTTTTTACAATGAGGTATGAATGTTGACTTGACCACCTGAGTACTTAATTCATATTGCAATTAATGGTCAAATAGTTGACTATCTTATTGTTTTCATTTTTTTCTACTACTACTGTCTTCCTTCAAAGAGGCATGCGCTTATTTCTGCCACTAACTCAAGGCATTAAAGCTCCCTAGCAGCTTAACCGTGCTCTTTCCTTTACTATGTTGGCCATATTGAATCTCTTGTATCAGTGAGTATACTTTCATACCAAATTAGACAGTATTAAAATGAAAAGTTTAAGGAGAAAATTTATGCCTCCACACTTGTCACCAATCAATAATAGGTCAGAGATGTTTACATTCTTAAAATTTATCAAGGAGATCTCAAATAGGAATGCAAATTCCAATACATGGGAACAACACAGACAATTATATGAGTTTCTGTTGTTAGTTGTTATGGCAAGTATACTGAGGAGTGCACTGAACATTATACAAAAATAAGTATAACAAGGTCAAAAGAAAATCATAAAAGCAAAAAGGAAGTAATATACCGCATCACTTCTCACTATCCTCTCTAATTTTTCCTGTGTTGTCCCAGATTTTCTTGGCAAAAAATCAGCATCATCATCTGACTCATCAATATTATAAATTGGCTTGCGATCTGATCTTACACGAAGCCTCTCCACCAAGCTACTCATTTTCTGCTAAAACAATAGAAATCCTGAAGCACAGAAGAGGAACAAACAATGATGTGTTGATTCTATCGTCCAAACCTTCTATTAAGTGACAATTTTCAAAAATGGACCAATCATCCAGGCCCCAGGGGAAGAGGGGTGGAAGAATACTTTACACACATAATGTAGCAAAGTTGTTGCTTGAGACATAAATAAACAGATTAAATGCATATGTTCACAAATGCCTTAGGCATACAGTAAGTAGATTGAAATGAGTTCAATTTGGTGGAAACCTAGGCCCTGATTTTTGTTTCCAAGTGTTGCTTGATGATGAATCAATGATGGGTACAATTATTTTGCATAACTAATACTTCAGAACTCTCTAAAGCCCATTCAAAAGAAAGTAGAAAACGTAGGATGCTTTTATCTTTTAATCGCTGAAACACCAAATTAGACACATTAATTTTCAAAGCATGTGGTTTAATATATATTAAGTAAAAAGGCATATATATATATATATATATATAACACATATTGTCATGATCAAATCACACATCAAAATTAATTAAGCGACACTTCTAACAACTTCTATAAAAAATGAATTTTACTAATTCAAACCATTGATTTTAAAATTCTTGTGAAGTAGATCAAGTTCACAAATTTTTGTGCAATTTAAATATAAATAGATACTTCATTGCTCCATTATATTTTAACAAATGATATATTTAAAATTTACATAAATTATGTAAATTTTATATATATAATTTTCATGGTAATATTATAAGAACTAGCAGCTGGATGCATAAAATGCACTTTCAATAAAAAGTTATTAGAGGTGTCATTTCCTTAAATTTGACACTTGATGTCATTTTATCCTAACCCATATATATGTATGCGTATTAGTATATGTGTGTGTATTATATAAGGGTTTCCATAATATTTCCAAATCTAATTCTGAAACTAGTTCCATCTCTTTGCAACAATTATGACTAAATTGCTGTTAACAATGTGACTGAAAGCATTGTATGAATTTGGAGGGAAACAATAGGACATGCGGGCAACGTCATTTTGGATATCAGATCAAATGAAGAAACCATACATATAATTAATTCATCACTTCTATATGTAAATGAATAACTAGTTCCAAGATACACACTGTCAATGCGAGTATACATGTGAAGAATCGCTCAATTCCTTATACAGGGAAAATGGATTTATAAATGTAAATATACATGGTTTATAAACACAGTTAACAGGACAACAATGAAATATACATACAGACATGCTTCAACTATGCAAAGTAAGTCATCATTGCAGAACAGTTAAATCAATATCAACAAATTACTTGAAAAATTGTTGGAACTGAAAATTCCATGAAACATTGTAAACACCACAGCTCAAATACAACTACGAAACTGCATAAACAATAAAACGTTATATAAAACAATGTGCGTATGATTCCTCATGCGATTCACCACTAAACCGAGGAAGCAATAAGATAAGACTGGCATGTTATTGTTAATTCTTAGCGAACAAGTATGGTATTGCTGGTAAAAACTTGCAATTAAGGAAAACAAAACTGAAACCCTAGATTGGTCGAGAATCATCCACCATTTCCAAAATGGTTACGAGAGGGATTCGTTAGCTAATCAAGCAATTTCTGAGCTATGAGTCATCGAAGTGAAGTGCGAAATGAAAATTCAGAGTGAGATGTACCGTAGAGTGCACGATTTTCCAGCGATCTGGAAAGAGGAGCTTCAGGAATTTCGCGGGAACCCAAACCTGGAGTTAAGAAAAGAAAAAAGAAAGTGAATAAATAAAAATAAAAACAGGCGGTGAGGGGAGAAACAGGGATGCTAGACTCACCAGGACAGTGACGAGATTTAACAGCCACACCGAATCTGTTTATAGGGAAATTTTTTGAATAACAACTAAACAAGCACTGAAATTTTCGGGGTGAAATTAATATGAAAAAGATATATATTAAAAAAATTGGTAGACGAAAGCATAGATGCTATTTTTTTTCCCCTAAAATAAAGAAATACGAAATTAAGTTTTATTTTTCTTGAGCCTCAGTTTTATTTTCATTTTTTTTTAAGCTACTTAGGTTTTATTTTTGTGATCCCTGGCCGTTTAAGAGTCGTGTCAACAATTTTTAAAAAATTGGTGTCAACAGATTTCTAACAAAAAAATGGCTTTTTTTTTTTTCAAGTGTTATTTGTTTATTATATGTAACATAAATATATATTAAAAAAACTTTTGAAAAGGAATATTCCATTGAATCTTACTAAATAGTTTCTTTCAAACATATAACATTTTCATTATATTATTTTAATTACTAAAAAAACAACATTAAATATTTGTCGGTTGAATATTTATTTTATTGGTACAGAGGTTCGTGGTATATTAAGTATTTGTACTTTGTAACTTATATTTAAAATGTTTAATCAACATTCTAAAGTAATCCTTAACATTGTCATTTTTTTTTATTTGACCCACTCTATATTTTTTGTTTTCTCTTTTGTTATCAATTTATTAGTTACCATTGATCTTTATTCAATCAATGTATTGTTGTTCATTTCCAATCTTAAAAGCATACTTTCACATTAATTGGGTGCATTTGAAATAATCAACTCTTTTAAGACAGTGTTTTGATCCCATTTTAGGACTCTCTTGATTTTAAAATAATTAAACAATTTTAATCCTAATTTCAAAATTCTTTTCTAATTTTGTCTTTAAAATGGTGTACAATATTTTTATAAGTTAAACGCTATATGAATTAAAGATTTTGCTGACAGGCGAAAGTCTTCTTATTTACTACTTAAACTTTTCACATTCAAAATTTAACTTAAATATTTTTTTTCATGAAATAAATTGATTCTACTTTTAGATATTGTGTTTTATCTCAGTTAGAAACCCTACTAGCACGTATAACTATATTATATATGATATCTGTATAAAAATAATGAGTTCATTTACAAGTTGTGCTATATAATTAGACTTCCTGTAAGGAGATTACAGGAATATTAGTAGTTTCTACAATGATGCAATAACAGTGCAGTAAAATTATTTTGTTCAGAATACTTCTAAAAAAATTATATCCCATTTTCTGCCAGAAAAATGGTTGTTGTTTAGAGTGCTTCCAATCAAACTACTTGAAATGTCAGTTCATAGATAAAGTGTAATTAGACTTAATATTGTGCTAAATTGAGAGTTAAAGCTTACAATATGTATTTTGTGATTTTCAACCTTCCCCGCTTCCTAAAAATGCCTGTTTTATATCGCTTTTTGCTAAATCTTTTTTTTCTTTATTTTAAGAACTCAAATTTGAGAAGTCCAGATTTGAATGGAGGTTTATCGTGTGCCGTTTTTTTTTCTTGCAGCAAATCGAATTTGAGGGGCTTTTTTTTTTTCCCCTCTAAACTTTTTTCTTTTTTCACAAGAATTCAAATTTGACGGGTCCACATCAATTGCAGGGAAACCAATTGAAATCGAATCTCATTACTTGTCCCAGAGATATACCCAAAAAAAATCATTTGCCTTCCAATTAAACAATGATAATTTTAAAGATAAATTAAAAAGAAATAGGATTTATCATTTGAAAAGATCGCAGTTTTTTTTTACTGCATTTTTAGTATTCAATTAGAAAATAAGGTAGAAACAGTAAATTTGATCCAAACTTGCCCGGGTAGACTGTGAAAATGAGAAATCATCATAAGAGTGGCCATGTTTCAAAAAGCATGCACGCGCACCGCAAAGAATACCTCATGAGTGAAATTATCAAGCACTGAGGCTTCTCAGAAAGCCAGTTTATGAATCGCATGCAATGCTTCAACCAACCAGAATTCAGAACATAATTAATGCCTGTTTGAAAATACATTATCTTAGATCCATGTATATCAAAAATAAATCCAAGCTTGCTATAAATAGGTAAAACTAATTTTGGATTGCTGTGAAAGTACTTGTATAGGGCACCCTAACACTAACACCTATTCAACCAAACATGGAGTACATGACTTCCCATTCGAACTCATTTTGGATTTGTCTTGGTAAATAAGTGGCGTGGTTGAATTGCCGAGCAAGATCAGAAGAAAAAAATAGCAGCAAACTAAAGGAATCATCATAAATTATTATTGGAATTTGAAGCACTAAACTGAAGTGATTTACAAAGAACTCAAGCTAACAAAACCAGCTAAGGTTTGAGTTACAGTTCAAGCAAGGATGAAATGTTACAAGTAAACAACAACCATTTTTCTGGCAGAAGTGTACACAAGTAAAAGACTCACACTTAGAAGTACTCTACAACCAATTATATTTTTTTTTTCTTCTTCTTTCAATTAGTCTGTCCACTCTCAACACCTAAACCATACAAGACACCAGCATATTTCTCTGTAGAGCCATTGAAGAATGTATCCCTCAACTTTCTAAATGTACAAGACGTGAGTAAACTATCAGACCCAGCTTGATGGCACACGCCAACCCTCTCCACTTCCAACAATTCCGCAAGCTTGTTCAACCCACCATGGAGACTGTTACAGAACTTCATCAAATGCTTGATATCATACACCATCGGGAAATACATCTTGATCAAATCAAAGAACCCAGTCTGTGTGTCCGGCAAGCTTCGACATGTCAACAGCTTAAGGAGGTAACCAAAATCATAACCGCTGTGGAAGGTCACCCAATGCACACTGTCGTTTAACACAATCCCAGACGACATGAGAAGCTCCCCGAAACGGCTCACGTCAATTCCTTTCTCGTTGTTCTTCTTGAAATCGATCCCGCATTGACGCAATAGCTCGATGGAGTCGCTGGCGAAGATGTCTTCGCTGATGTTGAACTCGCGGAAGTTGAATTGCCAAATGCAGAAATTATCAGTGCCGCAAGTAGGGAGGTTCCCGTGCTCGTCTGAGAAGGTGAGACCTAATTGAATCAGCTTCAACATGTCAACGTTATCCTTCAAGGTTTGATAGTTATAGTCGTTGATGTTCTTGAAGTTCCCCACGGGGCGAAGAACCACCCCCGGGAACTCCGTATCCATAGCCACGTAGTTATATTCGTCGACAATTTCACGGATCAACGCGAACTCCTCTTCGAGATTGTCGTTCCAAACCTCCCTAATTTGAACCGAATCGCCTTTCGGTAAAATCGACATTTTCGATGAACAAACCCAAGCAATAGAATTAAAATCGCAATCAAACCCCCCAGATCTGCGAGAAAAAGACGCTAAAACTGTTCAGATCTCAAAACCTAACAAATCCGCAACGTACATCGTTGATTTTACAAAGAAAGATAAACAAATCTAAAATCGGATAGAGTCGCAAAACCTGAAGAGGAGTTGAGCAAGTAGAGCTTGAAATCACAGGTGTACGGTGGAGATTTAACTAGATCTGAAACAAACACAAGCGTAGAAGATGCGTTGAAGACAGAAGACTAATTTGAAGATATTAAAAGTGAAGTAGGGTTGAAGTAGAAACCCTAGAAATGGAAGTAGATAAGAGTAGGGAATCTAACCTTGCAGTGGCGAAAATGAAGCATAAGTTGCACCGATCTCGGAGGAAGGGTCGGAGATTTTAAGTTTGGGGAGAGAGATTCGGAAGTCAACGAAGGAGGATTGGGGAGCGAAGAAGGGGAATAGACGGAGCTGAGGGCGAGGGTTGAGACCTGGATTTGTACTGGGTATGGAACGTGGGGTCGTTTTGGTTAGCAACAACCCCACGGGAGATGTCGTTTACAACTGGGCTATGGCAAATTCGGGATGCGACAATGTGATATCAGTCGTTAACATCTGTCCATAGCCAAATCACCGACCTTCTTTATTTTATTAATTATTGTTAATATTATCATTGTTTTGGACTCATGGAGTTCTGGATTCGTATGATTTGCAATTTTATAGTTTATTTATTTCAATCATTTATTGCTAAAATATGTTCAGTTTTTATTTTAAATGTATTTATACAATAATTCTCAATTAATACTTAATGCGACAATGGGTATTACTTTATAATTTAAATCAAGCAAGAAAGTATTTCACACAATATATAATAAATTTTATTTAAAATTTAAAGCTGGGAAAAAATTTGAAATAGACAATCCAAATGTAATTTTCCACGTTTAGATTTGAGTGAACCTTTTTAAGTAAAATTATCAACACCAATCTAAGATTTTGTTTAATTACAAACGTAAATTTTTAACTTTTGTTTGTCGTATTAAATTAATTATAATGTATTTATATTGTAAAAAAATATATTACCATTGTAAATAATTATATCGGTGATGTTTATTATTTTTTATAATGACGATATTTTTTAAAAATATATATATATGAATTGTATATTCTAATTATTTGGTAATACAAAACGGTACATAAAAAAATGCTCGTTTTACATAGGCGACTAGTTAATTCTACAAAAATGTATAATTTTACTGATTAATAAATTCACTTAATTTAAAAATTAGATATTTGTTTTGTATTAAAGTTTGGTTGTCAACTTTTGAAACAAATATTATAGTTGTTACATTCAATTAAATAAAACTTAAGCTAAACCAAAATACGTTTGAATTAGCTCTAAATTAATGAAAGATGATTGGTATCAACGTGTAAACAACTTTTTATTTCAAATGCAATTGGCGTAAAAAAAAAATTATACGAAGAAAAGGTTAAGATGTCGTGATTTGACAACAGGTAGTTGGTAACCTTACTGTCCTTACATTGTAATTTTATTATAAAAGGTTCGCACAATAAAGTGCGGCTTAATCAACTTGCTAGTCTATAACTGTTTGATTATTCAAATGTTTAACTATTTAATTTTGTAAGGATATTTTTTACATCAACTTAAAACTTTATTTGTCGATATGATAAATATTATTAATATGTCTTAATTTTTCTTTATCATTAATTTTTTCTTTGTCTTTTTTTATTTCTGTTCGTATTTTAAAAAATTATCCAAATAATTGTTTCCATGCTATTATATATATATATATATATATATATATATATATTACTAAAATTTTAACAGATACAAATATTAAAAAACGTTAAAACTTAAATTGCTCAATCATGTTGGACATCGTAAGATATATCAAATTAATTTAAACATACTATTTAATACACAGCATGTGTATTAAAGTTACTTGTATGTAAAACTGTAATTAGTAATTTTACAATTTTTTAGAAGGATGGAATAATAAGATAAAAAATATTGATGAGATATATCAGATTTTATTTCACACGTATATTTTTCTAAAGTTGATAAATTTTTAGATATAATAATTTTACCAGATCAATAAGATATTTCCAAATAAATATGCACACGGTCTTTAAAAAAAACAATTTTGCATTACTATGATACACAGTGTATATTATTTATTGGAGAATAGTGTATGGCTTAATCTTCGTTTATTTTTTTTACACTTTATTATCTAGTTTCTTTACATCTTACTTAAATGATATTGACCGTGTCAGCAATCATTTTTTATCAATCCCTTTATTAGTTGTGTTGTCCAATAGCCATTCTTTTTTAAATAATAGCTCTTATAAGATGAAATATTTTAACTGGTTTGGAATTTTTTATTTTATTTTTTACTACAACTTTAAACGTTTTTCTTAAGATATTTCAAATAGATTAACCGAGTCCTCTATAGAATAACATACTTTTAATTTTTAATTAAATATTATTTAATAACGAATTGGAGTTATCATTCATCAACAGCAAGAATATACACACATATATAAAGAAGTTATTAAAAAAATATAATTTTACTAATTTTAATTTTTAAGGTGTATTTAATAATAATATTTTTATTTAAAAATACATACTGAATTAAATATATAAGATATAAACGTTTAATGTTTTTTAAATAAAACATCATTTTTAATAATTTCTTAAACTAAATTGTTAACATTATTTTCCAAATTAAACGGAAAAAAAAAAGTCAAGCTTAGACGGATAAACGTGACAAGATCACTGAAGTTCTTCCAAACATACAAATGTCACTCAGTTCAGTTTTAACAAACACCGGTGCGTTTGTATTGGCTTGGCCAACTTCTATTTTCTCACGTGTTTTGTATTTAAATATCTGGTGATTTTTAACTAAATGTGATTTTCTGTTGGCAATGTTTGATTTGATTTTTAAATATACCTTAGTTTAAAATGAAAAATAATATAACTTATGCGCTATGTTGAAAATTTCACCCTAAACGTTACTACAATACATCAAAGCTCTCTTCTTCTTTTTTTAATATAAACCACTTCGTCTAAACTCGTATTTATTTGACACTGATTTTTCAAATAAAAAAATATCTAAAATTAATTATAATAACTCCCACTCAAAAACATGCTATTATTAGTACATATATCATCAACAAGTGAAATTGATATAATTCTAACTTAATCACCACATTCTTATAAACAGTTAAACATCAAGGCTCTTGATAATAATGTCTATTTAACTGAGTCACTATCAACAAACAAGTCATTGCCGGGGGTCAAGTGAAGTGAACGTGAATCAATAATAATGCAATTGAATTTAACATCAACTTATACCTCAATGACTTTAATCCACATCATTATCATCTAAACATGGTCCAAAATGGCAGGCAAATTCCGAATAGTCCAATATGAACGCCAATGCCTTTTCATATAACTGCCGTCACCGTGTCATAGACAACGTTTGACAAACTTTATTAAGAGCAAAAGGGCGGTATTTTATGATTAAGAATACTCTATGGACATTTTGCGAAAAAAAAAATATATTAAACATTTAACAAAATTTAATTTTGTAAACAAATGTTAAATTAATTTAGAATAGCAAGCTCTCGTTATAAATATTTGAGTTCATTATCTTGCATTTTTATTATCACTGCTCTTTTTAATTGATATATTTAAATTTATTGTTTTTGTCTATAAAATTTCATGCAACATTTTACAATGAGTGAAATTAAATTTAAGGGCTAATCAAACATGCGCGCATTTCTTCTCAACATTTAAACTTATGTCAGGACACCAACGCCATAGTTTATTGAGCTTACTGTTCGCAAGATTTTAATTAGGTTTGGGCAAACTTTTATCAATTTAAGTTGTGTCGTAACTACAATTTTAGGTTCAAACATGAAAAACTAACGTGCTGTACACCTATCACTTACTTACGGGAGTATTGGTGCCCGGGTTCAATTCACTCGCCAGTCACGAGTGTAAACTTTTTTATCTTGCCAATGGAAAATGAAATTTTAGATATATTTTTAAAAAATAATTACTGTAAAAGTTAATAATTATTAACAATGTAATAACCTGTCATTAGATGACAATGCGATTATTTTTTATATAGTTGTATATGTTATTGTCTCCGGAACAGAAGTTCTTATAACAAATAGAATTGCTTGAATTCTATTTAAATTATAAATTTATATAATTGAAAATAGCCAAGTAAATTTCCGCAAAACTTAAAAATTAACCACTGAATTTGTTTAAATGTCTACAGCATAGACCTAAAAAACATCGAAGAATAACGGTAACAAATAATTTTGAGTTTTTTTGTTGCTGTCAAAACTTGTTAATTCCATAAAATTAGTAATATAGAGAAAATAAAATCATTTAAAGCAACAACAAACTAGAAGCAATCCTTATAACTATATTTTAGTTAAATTATTGTAAAAATATAATTATTTATTAAGTTACACGACAAATGGTAATCGTCAGCATAAATAAATATTTGTATACGAAGATCCAAAATTCCAAACACAGTAATGTATCCAAATAACAGAAGGAATCCATTCCCGCAGTAAGGTCACAATTTAAAACGATTTTTCTTTTGGATATTTTTTTTCGTTCACGAGAAAAAATAATAATAAACTATTTTAAACATATCCAAAACAGAACAGAAAAAAGAAGGAAAACTACAAAGACAGGATGGGATGCTAAGGAAAACTACAATGACACGTTTCCCTAAAAATTAAATAACTTAATTTTAATATCAATTAAAAAAAAACTAATCACAATAATTTAATATGTATTTTTCTCTCAAGAACTCTGAAAAACTAAATAGCAATACATTTAATATACTAATTTAATTAATTTAAAGACATTTTAATTTTATTTTAGGCGTAAATATTAATTGGACCAGCGTAAATATGATATACGATACTAACGATACAATGGCAATTTTTTTTTTCCGCTATTAGTATCAATCTCTTTAGTGCGTGTATATAGAATCCGCGGCGTTGAGTATAATACTCTGTTGTATTTTATTTCAAAAATTATAATACACTATCTTTGATTTTTTGTTTTACTTTTTAAACATGTTAAATGGAAGAAGATTGTCATGTTAGGGAAAAGTTAATATTTTTAAGATGTTGATTAAATTTTAAAATTATTAAAAATATTAATATGTTTTTAATAAGATTTTTTAAACGAATTTAAAGAAAAAAGTTTATTACACTAATGATTCTAAATCCTGAAATGTTTCGGTAAAGAAACACGTCCAGCGAGAGATTTAAACCAAAAATGTTTCATTAGTTTTAACTAGTGTAACAAAATACCACTCCTTAACGCATAACAACTGTTAAAAAAAAAGCGCTACCCATACATGTTTTGCCAAATATTAAAATAATATTTGTAAATACAGATTTTAAGATATATATTAAAAAATACAATATTTGATTATACTAATAAATTGGACTATAAAAGATTAAAAGTATTATAACTATATACTGTTATTATTATGATATTTCTATATATACGTTAAAAA